GTCTTCCCATCCGAGGTTACCTTGTGCCTACTTTGTCTGTCTTGTATATATGTATACATGCATATGTTGTCCCCCCTACTAGAATGTAAGCTCCTTGAGGGCAGAGATTGGTTTATTTTTGCCATTGTATCTATAACACTTAACACAGTGCCTGGCACAAAAGTGCTCAATAAATGCAAATAAATAAGTTGGGCTATGAACAGTGATTTCTTGTGGCTCTCGGTGTTCCCACTTTTAGGTGTCATTATTGTTTATTATTTTCTGCTTTTCATCTGCTGTGAGATTTAAATATCAGATAACCAAGCTCATTAGACTTGTGTGTAACACAAAGGTGAATCAGTTCCAAGAGAGGAACTCTCTATGAGTCACACATACAAAGCTTTGAGTGCATAAACTTTGCGGCATCTCTTGGCTCTAAAGAGGCCTTTTCTGGGTTTTATCTGGTTCTCAACTGTGTTCTTGATAGATAAGTTCCTGAGTAATTAAGTTCTAGATAGGTATTAACTTCATAGGACATTTTCCATCCTCGAGGAGATTATAGTCTAGGCAGGAAGAAAAGGTAAAATACATGAAATAATTTGAGAACAGTATTAAGAGCGCACAGGAGTGATCCACAGAACTTTTAGTCCTCGCATAACCCATTCCTAAACACGTGGCTTGGTTCCCAGTAGTGTAAGAAGCAGAGCAGTAGAATGGAAAGAACACTGAACTGGGAGTCAAGAAACTTGGGAAAGTAGGCTAAGTTTGGTTCTGTCACTTTCTGGCCCTGTGACCTTGGGCGAATCATTTCATTTTTCTGGGCCTCTGTTGACTTGTCGACAAAACTTAAGCTTTGGATTAAATCATCTTTAAAGTTTTCTTCAGCTCTAGCTCGAGGAGAAGCTTTGATGGTAGCCTTTGGAGGGTTGGTCTAAACAGACCCAGTCCAAAGGCAGCCTTGTTTGCTATAGTACTGAAGACTACTAAAACAAGCTAGAAGGACTGAAGGTCAGGACTAGAGCAGTGCTTTCTAAACCAAAGGTAATCTGTCTTCAAAAGCCCTATGACTCAAAACCATCTGGGCCTTGAAAGTTTAGTACCACTTCCCTATCTGTTCCATAGCAGGCCTCATCCAAAGCCAAATCTCTTGGGCAGAAATACAAACCATGGTAGAAGCGGGAAGAGAAGATAGGTAGGCATGAAGGGAGAAGGGAGAAGCAAGGGACAGTACTTTCTTCTCAGCCTTCTCAGCTGGTTATTCCCTGTTCCCATTCCTCATCATTTTCATTTTGCCTCCTCCCTGTTCCTCCCAGTTTCAAACGATATCACTTTCTGACTTTATTCTCCTCGTGGCTCTTTATTGGGCCAGCTGCTGGGGTAGCAGCCAGGTTATTTATAGCCTTAAAGTTTGGGGGAAGCTAGTGGAAAGGAGCTCCATCCATTCCTAATACCTCTCAGCCAAGTCTTGCTCCTTCAACGATATGCCTTCCCTTTCATGCTTAAGTATGATCTCCATACCTCACTAATTAGCATGAGAGGAAAGGAAATCTTGTGGCCTGAACCAGAAGGTGACATACATTAATTTAGTAAGTGTCATGGTTGCAAACACAAGAGTTCCATGTTCTTTTCTAAGCCTCAAGGGCATCATAGCATTCCAATTTTTAAAAAATGCTTAGACACTTGTTAATGTGGTAAATGGCAGAAACTGGCAAACCTCTCAGGGACCACTGTTGGCACTGCTTTTGTTCCTGAGCTCTTAGAGTTTTCCCCAAGGATGGAAGGGGGGCACGGATAGTCTTAATAAAATAATAAAGTGGGTCCAGCTCCCTGCCTCCCCTCCCCAGGCAGTTTTGAATTAGATGGAAACAATGAGGAGATATTTTTCTTTTTAATTTTGCTTCTTAAATCAACCTAATCCCTTCTTTGTAGAGACCATACCTCTAATCATTCTCAGCTTTTATCATCTTTCTTCTTAAATTAAATAATGCCCCAGTTTGTGATTGGCTGAGATATACAATCGCTTTATAGGAAATAGCAGGATAGAATGACAGTTAGTCCTTCTTTTTCCAGTATCTCTATGTTCTAAAGGCCCTCACATCTTGGTTATCTCTGAGACAGGGTCAGCCTCTGTCTGATAGTATAGCGTTGGCAATAGCCATCACGCACAGGCCTAAAACCAACGTCTGTTACCTTTTAAAGACTCCCGCTTACTATGGGTTTTCTGTACCCTCTCCCTTAGCTATGAGTTCTTTTCTAGAGTTGTCTTGAGAGTGTGGTCTTTGAGAACCCCCAACAGTATTTTATTAAGCATTCATGCTTTGTTACACAACTTAATAAATGCCAATCTCATCTCTAATTATAGGGAGAGGGGGCTGACAACTTCTAAGCTTACATAGGCAAGAAATACAAACCTCAATATTCTTCTTGCTTTAGAGAAAACCTCCTCATCAATGACAAGTTAATTTTATTTACCTTGGTGGGGGGGGGAGGGCGAGACAGCCATATCTTATGGAATAGATATGTTTTTGAAAAGTTGTATGTAAGTGGAATTTTTGTCAATATTATGTGACTTAAAATGTACAAAGGTAGCTTGTTATTCAAAAGAATCCTATAATTAATTACCTTGTACGATGCAGAATCATCTAATCTACCTTTGCCATAGGCCCAGATTTTCATTTATTAGGTTTGCTTTTAAGGCAAACCCATAAACAGTTTTCCATTCAGAGAACCATACCACTGTTCTTCATCATTAACAGGCTAAGAAGCTGGAAATGCACAGTGAAACAGTATGCTCAAGAACAGAGGAAACTGGTTATACTAGAGATTCATCTTTTTAGTTAAGGATTTTGTGGGGGAGCAGGTGGGGGATGGGTGGTGATATGTCTCCAGTTTCCATTTTTCAGAAAGACTCTCGAGCCTTTGGCTGTGTGGAGGCCAAGGGTTTGCTGGCAGAAAAACAAGAGCAAAATTAGTTTGCGTCCTTAGTCTGTGGCTGTCTGCCAACATTTTCTTCAAATGAAACATTCTTATTTTCATTCTGGAGGTATTTGTCAGGTCTATTAAAATAAAAGGGTAGCAGAAACAAAAATAACATTTGCTGGGCTGAAAGTGCTACTCCTAAAACTTGACTGGAAAATAGAAATATATATATATATATATATATATATATATATATATATATATATATATGTGTGTGTATGTATATACACACATATTGTATATATGTGTGACAATATATTGTATATATACACACATATTGTATATATGTGTGACACACACACATATTAGTTTTCAAAGGGGAGAGAAAGTCTCCTTTATGGTTACTTTTAAACTAAAATTTGACATGGCTTTGTATTTTTACATTGGTCCCTGTGTTTCAATGTACATATGTGTTTATTTATATATAGCATATTGCATATATATATTTATATTCAGAACCACTGAAACCTACTACTCAGAAACATATGTCGGATAAATAGATATTACATTCACAAGACAATTAAGAATTCTAGTGGATTTCATTTGCATATAATTTTTATATTTCCATAAACTTGGAAGCTGTGAAATTAAAATTATTGCCTGATACAACAGCACAACAAAAGTGCCAAATTTACTCTCTCCCAAATCTTGATGGTTAACAAATCATAAACTAAAATCAACACCATTAAAAAAAAATAACAGCAACTGCAAGGTGTTTACATACAAACCTCTTTGGCAATTTGAAGCACATAAGCTTTCTTACTTTTCAGTCTTACCAATTCATATGAATGCCTACCTGAAAATGATTATTTAATGACCCCTTCCTATCATCAAAATCTGGCTAAGAAAAATTTTTAGTTCTGGATGGTTGAAATGAAAGGGAAAAGTCTAGTTCATTCATAAGGAGAGTATGTTTATATCATACTTCCTGTATAAATCTACACACCTATTACTTAATATTGTAACTGCAGTTTAAGAAGGATTAAAATGCTTGAAATCACATTCAAGAGGGAAAGAAATACACAAACAGCCAGTGTAGGAGACCATGATCCAACCAAACTTGGAAGATAGTTGTCTGGTTATGACATTTCTAAAGCTTGTTTACTTAATTTTCAGCAAAGTCTTTGAACCTAGGAAATCTGAAGTAACTTAGGTTAGAATCCAGGCCATTGCACATTCAAGTCCAATGTCTGGTGAACTTGGCTGTGAATATATGGTTACTTACCTCTCCTGGATCTGCTTTGTTTCAATAGATCCACTGGGAAAATTAATTTCATTCTTCTTGTTTTAAAAAAGCCCAAACAAAAATACATGTTAGATTACTTCTCTGTATGTGAAGATCAGTGCTGAATAAAATCCAGACAAGCTGGAGAACTTTGTTGCTCCAGCAGAGTCAATTCGCCACGGATATGTGCAGCAACCCAGCTTTAAAAATTTTCTTAATGACAGATTAGCTCCATCTTCCCCTTTGTGCCAGGGAACAAAGCTGTTTAGGAGAGAAGGGCCTCTCTGTTCCCCTTCTACATCTGCCTCTTTGCCTGGGCTCCTGCCTGGGAAAGGGAAAACTGAACTGCATGTTTTTAGGTGCCACATTCCTAGCTGTGCACACATTTTGTATGCGCAGGGTGAGCTTCCCAAACCAGCAAAGGTGGGATGACATTGCTCCAGAGAATTAATTCCAGGTTGGTATTTCTTGTGCCCTTCAGCGCTTCTTTCTCCCTTTTGTAACTAACCCAATCTGGACCTTCTTTAGATCGTATGCATAAGAGCTATGCAACAGAGTGGCCCCTCCTCCTAAACTCCCCCAACCTTCTCTATCAGACTGTAATCTTAAGCAAGGTCATATCTGATACACTTAAAGGTTCTTCGATTTCCATTTGTGAAGTTAGGTATTATTAATAACAAAGGCTATGCACCAATGTTCTATTAATAAAGGATCTAATCTGAGTTTTGTAGTTAACTTTGTTTTTTGGTAAATCATCTGTATTTAGCACAATTTTCATTTGAAGTTATGCCAAATTAAAAAAAAAACCAACAACAAATTTCATGTTAATTACACTGTATTTTAAATTATTTTCCCAGCTTTTCTATAGCTATAGTGTGAAATTTTCTCCAATACAGTAAAACATTATAGTATACAATTGGTTACAAGGTCTGTAGTAATGAGTCAAAGATCATGGTGTGTTTATTCTATATACAGATATAGCTTAATATTTCACAGACACAATTTCTTCTTGGCTTTGGTTGCTGACAAAGCATAAATATTTCTTTTTGTTTGTTTGTCTTTTTACAGTTAGGCTCCTAAATAGCCTCCTCCTCCCCCAGGTGAAGTGAAGTTTCAACATTTCCCATCAGCAGTGTTTTCTGACCTTCAGCTAAGGGGATGAGAGGGTGAGAAAGAGTGATAAAAGGATTTGCTGGGAATGAGAAAAGACCATTAACTACAATTTCTAGAAAATGGGATTTTCTTTTTAAAAAAGACAACTATCATTGCTTTTGGAATTGAAAGGTTCTTCGTAATCCACAGATGACTTTTTTTTTTTTTGCTATTTCTTTCTGCATTTCATGACCAGTAATGGTTGTCTTCATGGCTAGAGTCTCTGGCATATATGATATCAATTTCAGTACACAACATATAGCCAACTGCAAATCAAACAAACGCTTGAACAAGGGCAACACATTCCCACTTAAGACTCTCTAAGTGCACAACTTTAGAGAAACATAAAACAGTATAAATTTCAAGAAATTCCTATCTATTATGCCAGATCTCAGTGAAATGATGCTTTTATGATGTATCTCATCTTGTCCATGTCATGACTGCGCATCATATGGAGCACACAAAAAGAATCACAAAATTACCTTTGGTATGAATATACCTGTATCTGAATTGATAAAATACAGTTTCAATTGCCATTCCGCCTCACACCCCAGAAGCACATAACCATAAAGAAACCAGGGTTTGAATAGTAACAAATTTTTAATACATTTAGGGAATGTTAAATCCTAAAGTGACATTGGGCTTAAGAGAGATGTGTAAAATAGTTAAGGCTCTGGTTTTTCATTTATTACTTATTCATGTATTTCTTATTACTGCTTAAGTTGAATACTATAACTTTAAGAGTATATTACAAGAGACCCTACTCTTCATACACAGTAACATGGCTTTTTATGATTGGAATTGGGGATTCTAGGGGATCTAGGCTTGTCAAAAAAGCAGCTATGAAACAGCCTCTTGTCACCTGAGACTTAATTTCAATCTCTGGATGGTTTCTTGTGTAGTCGACAATTTTAAGGGGTTGGACTTCCTCAGTTTCAAGAACCCATAACAACTCTCCAGTGAGAAAATGCATTCTTGGGTGGTATTGCTGGGTTCTAAACAAGACCAGAGAATCTATTCTGGTCTGCTGCTAATTGACGCAGGGTTGACATAGGCAGAGAGCCTTGGTTCTGTGCCTGGTTCGCTCTCAGGAGTTAGTTTCAGCTAAACAGACTTGGGAATTACTATCTACTAAGGACCAGGTGGGGTTTAGGGAGAACTTCAGGGTTGTAGGTTCTCAACTTCAGTCCCCACATAGGGACCAGAAGTTTGTGAAATGATATAGAGGGGGATTTGGAGTGTAGGTTGGGCTAAGTGCAACAAATCATGGTGCTCACTGAGCAAACACAAAAGACTGCAGGCAGCGGTTGGCAGTCCTCGATTAGTGTGGTATGATTGCTTTCCTACACTTCACTTAGAAGCATAATAAGGAAAAGGTCACTTTCAACAAATGAAATAGTGCAGGTCTCTGAATGTACAAGTTGGCACTATTAGGGCCCTTATAATACACAGTAAGTTTGCATTGTTGCTATAGGGAGTATTGCTGTATATATTGGCGGGAGTAGGGTATGCCTATATGCAAAGAAAAAAACTGCTAGTTTAGAACTAAAGAAAAGTGTAATGATTTCTCATAAATTTCCAAGACAATAATAACTGGAACCTGAACAGCTAATTTCCTATCATTTGTTAGGTTCTCTTCCATGGTTTGAGACTGCTATGAAACAAAAAAGGTTTTAAAAGGTATTTTACAAGTGAGAAAAAAAGGATTATAAAGCATTCATTGTTATCTGTACAGGGAAAAGGAATTGAAGTATCTGAGAAATTATCTATATTTAATACTCCTGCCTCTTAAGGCACAAACATCTTCACAGGATTTTTTGAGACCTTTCCTTGCTTTTTTGCTGTTGTTGTTAATGTATGGTCATTACTTCATTAGATTTTAAAGGCCAGATACATTTACAGAATTTGGCTAAAGAGCCAAAAAAAAATGCTAAGAGTAAAAGTAGAAAGAGAAAAAGTAACTTCAATAGTCCATTTGTTGTTCAAATTATATCTTTCAAAAAAAATGTAAAATCAGAGGTATAACCTTCAAGTGGGAAATTGCTTTTTACCTCGTTTGCTGATATCATTTTTTTCCCCACAACTTTAAATGCATCATGTCTCAATCTACTACCAGTTGGATTCTCAGTTATTGCCCTGGGAAGAATGGAGGCCCAGAAATTAGATGGATAGTTTATTTGGCAAATAGTTGTTTCATGTTATAAATATAAGCAGCCTGGTATAGTGGGAAATCCTGACCAAATCATTCAATTTCTAAACCTGTTTTCTAATTTGTTAATTGAGTGAATATCTGCTCCTTAACTACTTCACAGACTTATCAGAGGAAATAAAAGTATTTTTAGTTCCTTGGGAAAAAGTACTCTACAAATATAAGACTATCCTATGCAGAGGCATATTTTTATGAGTTGTCTGTTTATAGGATATAAAAAGTTTCTTGATGTCAAAGGAACATTCTGTCTCTCATACAGAGGCACAGAATCTCAAAGCTAGAAAAGACCCCACAGCCTTTCAAGTCCAATTCATACCTAATAGTAAATCATACTATAAATTCTCTAGTAAGTGGTCATCCAGCTTTTGCTTAAAGACCTCCGGCGATATGCAATACCTTCCCCTGAGGTAGCTCTTTCCATTTCTGGATGGCTCTATTTATTAGGAAGCGAGCCAAAGTTTGTCTGTCTGCGGCTTCTATCCGTTGTTCCCAGCTCTGCTCCTGGAGTGCCAGGCAGAACAAGCCTACTCCTGTTTTCATATGAAAACCCTTCAAATATTTGAAGGTAGCTATCCTATTTCACTGTATACCCCACAAGTCTTCTCTAGGTTAAACACCCGTAGATCACTGTGCAACACGTTTTTTTAGTTCCCCTCACTACCCTGGCAGCCCTCTTCAGGACAAACTACAGCTTGTCCATCTGGTATGCAGAACCAAACACAGCCTCCATGTAAGCAGAATGGAGAATGGAGTTATCACTACTTAGTTCTGGATATGATACTTAACATAACCTGCTGTCACAGTAGATACTCGCCCTCCCCCATTATGCTACACTGCTGAATTATAATAGTCTTGAAGTTCACTAAAATCCCAATATCACTTACATATAATCTTTTTTCAGCCACATCTCCCCATCTGGAATTTGGGCTGTTGAGGTCTTGAATTTAAGTACAGAACTTAACACTTACCCCCATTAAATGTCACCTTATTAGATTAGGGCCATTATTCTAGCCTGCTGAGATTTTTCAGATCCTGAACCAATCATGTTAACATGTTAGCTATTCCTCCAAGCTCTGTATAATTCCAAAAACTTGATAAACATTACATTCATGATTTCACAGAAATCACTGTTTAAAAAGGTGAATAAAAGAAGGCCCAGAACAGAGTCCTAGGATACCCTACAAGAGAACATGAAAGTTGGTTGACAATTCTTTAATTAGCATTCTTTGGTTCCAGTCATTTAACCAGTTCTGAATCCAACTAATTGCACCATTATCCAGATTACACCTTTCCATCTTGTCTAAAAGAATATCTTGAGGGACTTTGCCAAATGTCTTGCTGAAACCCAAGTCAGCAATGTATGTCACTGTTGGTATGAATATTTCCTTAGGTATGAGGTGTGTATGTGTGTGCAATTTTATTTTGCTGATCACAGTAGAGTATTTAGGGTAGGACTCACAGAGGACAAGTGGAAGGGCACAGTAGGAAGTCAGAACTCTATGAAGCACACAGGGTCTATGCTCTAGTATTGGCCACGTCTTGTGAAAATTAAAAAGGCCTAGTACTAGAAGAATCAAATTTGAGAGGTTTGGCTGCAAGATTGGGAAAGATATGTATATGAAGTGGTGACAAATGAGTTGTGTTGAAGAAGGCATGGCATTGGTTGTCATGGTTTAGTTTTGCCCACAGTATAACTTCTCTGAGATTTGAGATGGCATTCTGCTACCTTACTTTTTCTTGAATACTATTCTCTGTTCATCTTTTCCTACACTACTTTTTTTTAAGAGTTGTGTAAACATGTCATATCTGTCCATTTAGAAAATACTACTTTCTCTCTTAGCCTATATGACAAATTTTTCTTTGGCAATCAAGTGATCGGGACATTATGGACATGGAATGAAAAAGAGAATGCTGCTGAATAATTTGTGGGAATCACATTTACTACACATAATTTCAATGATCTTTGAAGTTTTCCACATGGTTGATTATACAGCTCAAAAGGAACATTTTAAAAAGTAAATCACAGATTCCCAAAACAAACTAATGATATAACATACCAAGACCTTGTGAACTCAAACTGCTGATGGGAACATGTTAAAATCATATTGCTGGTACTCAAACATTGCTGGAAAGCTGGACATGAAATATATGTCTGTAAGCAAAGCAGAGACCTCTGTTATCTAACCATAGTATTGCAGAGAGAGGAGAGAAGCCCTTTGCCAGAAGGAAGACTTTTCCTGAAAGATTCTCATAGTGAAAAAAATCCATCTAGTTCACAGATCATACATTGCACCTTTTCACTTGAGATTCGGTTTTAAATAAAATTATGGCTTATGGGCAAAACTGTGAAATATGATCTTTTATTACCCTGGACATCAGTTTTGGTGGTGCTGGTTCCATTAAATATCCTTTATCTATTGCTATTTTGCCATACAATAGATCCTGCAAGACTAACCACAGGTTTTTGAAAAGAAAAATTCTCAAAGCCACTATTAGATGATATGGTAGACATTAGGCCACTGTCAAGAAAGTTAACAAGTTGACATTTTCCACTTAGTAAGTGCAGAAAACTCTGCATTTTCTTCAGTAGATGGCAAGACCCTTTGATAGTAAATACATTTAAAGTATGGTTTCTAGTCTACCTGTTCCACAATTTGTTAAATAAACACAGGTCTCTTTACCAGATTTAGTATCCTGAATACAAAGAATAGCCGTGTCACTTGACTCCGTCTTTCACCTACTGGAAAAACTTTGATTAATTTCTTACTGTGTGCTTAGAGTAAATATTGCCAAACTGTAAGTTTGCTGGGTAGCTCTTTAAGCATTTAGATGATTGAGATAAAAAGTATAAAAGTTTAATTTTAAGCAAAAGAAAAACACTATACATTATTCCTACTTTGTGTCATGATTCACACTTAATCTAGTTTACACTAGAAGAGCAGTAATAATTAGAATTTTCCCAAAATTATGATTTGGGGTAGACCATATTTACTATTCCTTCAAAGGAATTAAAAGTCAATAATAAAGTTTTTGAAATATGTTGGAAGCAAATAATTTTGCACAAGAAAATTTTTACAGATGGAGACCTTTTGGGGGACTTAAACTTTAATACACATATATGTGTATATGTGTATGTACGTGTATGTTTTTCTTAATTACTTTTTTTTTCCTTTAGTCAATTTGCTTTTCTTAGTCCTTTGGCTCTATATTCCAAGTGGGGTCAATTCAATTAAACAAAGATTTATTAAGCGCCTACTATGTATAAGGCACTATACTAGGTCCTGGGATACAAGAATAGTTTTCAGTAGGGGAAAAAGCATCAACATGGAGTTTAAAAAAAACCCAAAAACTTCAGGTAAATGAGGAAGGAATAATGAATGAGGTCTACCCAAATCAGCGGCTACCTCTCTAGATCTATTAGATTTTCTAAGAGTTCTTGGAGTCCCTTTTTTGGGCAACAGGCCTGTAAACCAGAATGTGAGTAAGAGCAAAAGCTTATTGACATCCTCTGCAATAAATCTTTAAAAGGCCTAACTGAAAAGATTTTTAGGGAGACCTAACGTCATTTCTGTCATTATCAATAAATCAATAGATGCTGAATGTTCAAAGGATGATCAGTTGGATGCCTTCTTTCTCAATCAAATTATTAAATCCCTGAGGGCCTATGACCCTGTTTCTACTTATTAGTTCTCTCAACAAGCATCTAAATGCTCTTTGCATACATTGGGGTTTCTGTGTTTACTGACTCACCAGAGAAAGACCTATGCAAGTGTCACAGAGCAATTCACAAGGGGGCGCTATACTATGCCTGGCTATATTTGGCTGTAAGTTTCTCTATAGCGTGACTAGATGTGAACGAAATCATCCTTAGACTACATGGGCTCAAATATTGACTCTACTACTTACTAGCTAAGTGACTGTGGGTAACTTATTGAACCTCTCTTGAGTCTTAGTTTCTTAAACTGTAAAATGAAGACAATACTCCTTGTAAACTTTAGGGCATTAGTTAAATGTGAATCACTGTTATTGTTTGGGTAGAGGGAGGAGCTAGGAATAATAATGAAATGCCACAGGTATTATTTTCTTGTGTAACATGATTATAAAAGTATTATTATTCTTAAAGATACATTTAGAAATAAAACATCCCCTGGCCAATGCCAACCAAAGTAAGTATGCTTCATAAAAGCAAAACAAAACAAAACAAAAAACTGTCTGACACACAAACCCTCTTTTATCTTCCTTTACAAAATACTTTTTAAATATTGAAGGGGAAAACTGGCCTGTTATTTCAGCCACAGAGAGCAGAAAGTGCAAGAATATTGTCTTAATAACTACCACAGCACCAGTCAATTCAAGGAAGACATGCCAGGTGATAAATATTTAGATTTAAGTGGATTTTGAATGTATGTTTCTTCAGTGGATGAAACGAGATGATAAGAATGAATTTTTAAAAATACACATGTAAGAGTAAAAGACAAAACAGAATTTGCTTCTGTTGACTGCAATGCAGGTTCAAGGCGTATTTGATGTTTCTTTGACATTCTTACCTCAAGAATCTATAATGCACACATGGGAGTATTTTTAGGAAAAAGTAAATATCATGGCCAATGTATAATGTGTAATGTGTGAAACACACTGGCTTTTGGTTTTCCATGTCCTGTTGAGGCATGTGATTGAAGATATAACTTCTAAAGCCAATCAAGTCACTCAGAGGTGCTCTGGATTTAATCTTTGAAAATATTTGATTTATTCAGGGATTTTTATAAATGTATTTCAATTGTAAAGGGAAAAAAATCTAGTTTCTAAAAAGAAAGGAATGTTGTACCTATTCTATGAAAAACTATGAAAAACTCATTAAAATACTTAGAACAGGCAGGTTAACATAGTGGAAAGAACACTTGGACTGGGAATCAGGAAACCTGCCTTCAAAGTCCCACTGTGCCATGTGACTACTAACCATGTGACCTTTGGCAAGTCACTTCCTCTGTCTTGTGCCTCAGTTGCCTTCTTTATAAAAGGAGATGGTTGAATTAAATGATCTCTGATATCCTTTCTTCCTTGATTCTATACCTTATCTGACATGGAGCAAAGAAGAAAATAGTTATCAAATGCAATCGTAAGCAACTGTTGGCACATATTCAGAAGCTATTGCTTCTGATATTAGACTCATAAGGCATAATTATAACCACACCAAAGAACAATCCAGTGAAGGAATAGCTACTAGCACTTCAGTTCAAAGTTTGGAAGCACGCTCACCTATAGGAACCATTTGCTCAATGGGATTGCCAATAGAATTAGATTCTGTGGTGACATAATGAGGTAAGTAAGCTATGGTTTCCGGTTCTGTGCAAGAGAACAGTGACTTAGGGACATGGAAAAGCTGCCCAGACTAGCTATTTAAGTAGGCTCAGAATAACTTTTCTGGAAGACGTTGTTATAAACTTCAGGGTAAACCTTCCTTTCAGATCACCAGGTGCCAATGAACCCATCTTTTCTGTTTGTAGGTCACTACTTTCATGCAGTCATGAATGATAATTTTTAAAAGTTTGTAAAAATAATACTAGCTGACACTTATATAGTCTTTTAGTTTTCTGAAGTACTTTTATATAAGTTGTTCCATTGGAGTCTCATCACAGTCCCATTAAATAGGTACTATTGGTATCATTTATCCTCATTTTACAGATGAGTAAACTGAAAGAAACTCAGAGAACTCATGTGACTCACTCATGGTTACACAGCTAATATCAGAGGTGGGATGCAGACCTCATTCTCTCCTTACTCTCAGTCTAACACGCTTACAATTACACCTGGTTTCTTCATGAAAAAGGAAATATGTTTGAAAACAGAGCAGCAAACACAAAGATAAATAACTTACTAGAGTATATTATGATGATTCAAGCAGCTACAATGGGTAGAACTTAAGCTAACCAACCATTTTAGCTACTAGTTACTTCAGAGACCTTAGATTCTAATGAATGAAGGAGAAGAGGAGATTAAAATGTTCACACTCTTTAATGCTGAGAGAAGAAAATACTCTCAAGAGGAGAATATTTCCACAAAGAAGAAAAGCTTCACTTAGCAGGAGAGACGATGTAATATGATGGACAGAGTGCTGGACTTTGAGTTGGGTGACCTGGGTTTGAATCCTACCTTAAATCCTATGTAACAACCATGGGCAGGTCATTCAATTTCCCTGATCCTTAGTTTCCTCACCTGTAAAACAGGGATAACAAAGCTAATACTACCTATCACACAGGGTGGTTGTAAGGAAAACCTTATATAAATCTGAGTTATTATTATTATTATTATTATTATTATCATTGGTCTGGACCTGTTGTGATTCCATCCATGTAGGGATTGTGGAAGCTCCCCCTACCAAAGTAGATCAGCAATTCATCAATAAATTATAGTCTTTTATTACTATTATTTCTTAAGAAATAAAAAAAAATTCTGCATTTGTTTTGGAAGAATACATTCTTTACAGGCAAGAGGTATGTGAACAACTACACTTCCTTCAATAGTGGAAGACCAACAATTGACAGGTAAAACCTGAAGGAAAATATTACTGTTGTTGATAACGGTGTTATTGCCCTACAAAATAAACATTATGGATACAACACTGTACTAGTGGGTACCCATCTTTGTGTTCTTTATGATTAAACCTGAGCTGTGAGTTAGATGATCATAGTCAACATTTCACTCAGTGGAGAACAACATTATGAGAACCAAAGATTTGGTAAGGGCAGTTGTAATAGGATTTGAATGGAGTGACATGTTGATGGTAAATCGTATATGGAATCTTAAATATAGAAGTAGCTTTCCTAAATTATTTTATGAGCTATATTTTAGTATTGCCTCAGAAATATTAACAGCAATTAGAGAAACTATAATATGAGTTCAGTTCTTAAGGAACTTTGAATTCAAGGTGTAGTAAAACAATTAAATGTGTGACTGTGTAAGGAGATTTCCCATATTTTCTTAGGCTGATCAACTCAATTGTGTACAAATTATTTCATTTTATGGTATAGTGGAAGAACTCTTTAGATTTAAAACAGGTAAAAGCAAGCTTAAAGGAACACATTTCACTGCTTCCCCCCCCCATAGGTCATGTAGTCTGAAATAATAAAGAAAAGAAGAAATGATTCAAATTCATCTAAACAAAAGGAGTACTAATATTGGTGACCAGTTCCTGTGCTTCTTAGCTCATGATGAAAGCTCTTTCTATATACATCCTTAAATGGAACAGAGAAAGCATTTTGATCTCAATTCCTGTGGTGAGTGAAGAGGGCAAGCAGAAAGCCAGAAGAATGCCAGAGTGCAACAATGTACCACAACACAAAGCCTGAGGGCACTGGGCAGGAGTAGCATTCCATACAAAATGGGAAGCTGGGATTTTCAGATTCAACATGCATTTGATGACTTGGAATCTACACCTGCTTTGATGTAAATACTGCTCAACGTCCTCACAGTGGTTGGTAGCTAAGTGGCTGAAATACTAACGGACATCTGATTATTGTTATATTATATTCTTTGCAAGCAAAATCTATTTCCCTCTATCAAGATCCCTACCCCCAAACCCATTTTCAACCTAATCACATTTATTGAAAATAAATAAATAAATAAATGCAACCCTAAGACATTTATTTTAAGTTCTTCTCTTAGACACACATACTTCAAAGACACTAACTTTGAACTTGAAAATCCCTTAAGAGTAGGGATTCACTAAAGTGAAAATGGCTTCTCTGATACTGGATAGCCCAGACTGAAGATGCTTTGTTACCTATTTGCACTTTGAAGGTTGCTCTGAAAGCAAACCACTGTCTAAGGAAAGTGGCACATCCAATACACACAGTGGCATATGTGTGTTTTCAAAGCATTTGCAAAAGAGGATGGAATCACCACGGCTACATTACAGGCTTTATCTAAAAGACAAGCCACTGTGGAATCAATGCCTTTCCCAGTTCACTACACATTATTCCCTTTCCTTTAACACCCCTTCTCAGTACATTATTGGCACTTTTATATCAATTTCATAAATGCAAGTGTGTTTACATAGAAAGGTCAGATGATGACTGTAAAACACTATTATATATACACAAAGAAATAAACAAATCTCAAAGAGTCGTATTAGCCAAAAAAAGTGTCTTGTGAGAAACAACAATAAAAATGATATCTCAACCACAGCTTTTGTTTTAAAATGCAATTGATACCCAAAGCCATGATTTCACCAATGGCCTCTGTACCTAGACTTCAAGGCCATGGAATATACCTGAAGGCACTTATTATCCTCCACACTGCTGAAAGATAATTACAGAAAGATGTGGGAAGCTTCTCAAGGAGGGGAAGTGAGGGGAGAGGGATGGATGAAAATGAGCCCTGAACATCCATGATCCACACAGAAGTCAGGGTTTGAATGACAACATAACACCTAGGCACTGGAAATGTGTCTCTTGAAAAGAAAAACAGCCAAATTGTGAATATTATTGTGTTTCTATGGATAGAGCACCTCATGCAGCTAGCTCTTTGTGGCTGCATCATACACTCTTTGAAATATTTAGCTTGGTTAGCTCATTGGCTTCTTCAGCTCCCACTTCCCCACAGTCACTCTTTTCTATGGCTTTGCCAAATCTATACCTTTCTTCTGCTTTTACTGGATCTTTCCGAGGCTTCTTAGAAGATAGGTGAACATCCTTAGCCTGTGTATTAGTATCAGAACCATACGATGTTTTGTCAGAATTGTGACAGAAGGCACCAAGTTGGCAATCTCATCTGTTGGAGACCGTCCAATGCTGCCATCTACTTGAACTCGAATGTCTGGTGATATAGACAACTGGTGATGTGGCACAATCCCACTGTCCATGCATTTTGGATAAAGGTAGGTTTTCATTTGACCTTTTCCTTTCACATTTACTGTCCCCCTGTAGTCAAATTCATATCCCATCTTGTTCAAGATATGGTAGCTCTCTTCACTCACCTGTATGCGGCACTCAACTCCAGTAGTATCCATCCTGCTGGCAATATTCACTGTATCGCCCCAAATATCATACAGTAACTTTGTGGTGCCAATAACCCCTGCAGTGAGGGGTCCATGGTTAAAGCCAATTCTAAGTTTAAAGTTAAACCAGAGCATGTTGTTGTTGAAGTCATCCACAACTTGCATCATTTCTTTGGCAAATTCAAAAAGGGTTCGTAAATGTTCATGTGGATGGTTGCTGTCCTGACACTGGGAGGTGTTCAGACCTGAGGCTGCCATATATGTGGCCCCGATGGTTTTAATCTTCTCAATGTTGTTATAATCTGGTTTGCTCAGCAATTCATCAAAATCTCCAATCAGTTCATTTAGGACTCGGTAGCACTCCTTGCCTCCTTCATAGTTCTCTTCATAAAATTCACTGAAATTGACAATGCTGGCAAAGATTACCCCTCCACTATCATGGTTTTTAGAGTAGCTCTGGGAAACCTTCAGCTGCTCTGCCACGTGATAAGGAATAATGTTTCTTAGCAGCCAGTCAGCCTGATCTCTCATACTCTGGATTTTGGTACGGTGAAGATCAGCCTCCACACTTCCATGATAGTGAAGCCTATAACTGACTTCAAACTCTCGATTCAGGAACCAGACCAATAAAAGCAGGAGAAAGCAAACGAGAGTTACCTCCTGGCCAATTAGGTCTGCAGGTTTTTTGCTAAAATTTGGCATTGATGTGTTGCATGGATTCTTCCTGGAACTAGAAAGCAAGGAGAAGAAAGAAAAATATACAATTAGAAATATGTTTAATATTAAAGCTGCTAATCAAAGTTTCAAAGGATAGGAACACAACAGTTAAGAGACATATAGAGAGGACTAGCACTTCAAATATCTGCTGAATTCCAAATTTTTTTGACCAGATCTTTTATATTTCTTGTATAGAGAAGTACCAGTGAGGAGATTCCCTCCACCAATTCAGATTAGCACTTGTTCTATAATTTCTAGTCTTAACTGCCCATGGCACAGCCTTCAGCTGCAGATTCATTTCAGGTTTATTCTTCTAGCTAAAAGATCTAAGAACAATTTGAGATTAGATTTTTATAACTGATCACTTCAATTTGACAATTAACATATGAAGTGCTTCCTATGTGCTAGGAGGGGATGAAAAGGGAAAAACATAAAAGTCCCCTTTCCTGGGGGACCTTATATTCTACTTGTGGGATATAATATATACACAGATAAATAAATACTCTTTCCATTTACACTGTCTATATCTTGCATGTACATAGTTATTTGCATGCTATCTTTGCCATTAGAATGTGAGCTCCCTAAGAGCATGTTTTTCCCTTTCTTTGAATTTCCACAGCTTAGTATGATGCCTGGCACACAGTAACCACTTAATAAATGTTTGTTGACTAATATGAGCTGTAGAGACTACTAACAATGAGAAGAGTGAATATAGGCTTCAGATCATACGATCACAGATTTAGAGCTGGAAGGGACCTCAGACGTCATCTATTCCAACTCTTTCATTTCATATATGAGAAAGAAGACATTCAGAAAAGCTAAATGAGTTTCCCAAAGTCATACAAGTAGTAAGTAGTAGAGCTAAAATTCAAAACCAGATCCTTTGAATGACCTACAGGCAAGAGTCTTTGAACTGAGTATTAAAGGCAGATTATCATCATCATCAACATCATCACCACCACCACCACCACCACCACCACCACCACCACCATCACCACTACTCCTACTCCTACTACTGTTACTACTACTACTACTAGTACTTGCTTTTTTATGGCACTTTAAGGTTTGCAAAGCAATTTACATGTTATTTTGTCTGATAGGGATTTGGGGAACACAGATGAACAGGGAGTTTATTCAAGACATGGGGGGACAATTTGTGTAGATGGAAGTAGGAGACTGAATGCCAAGTATGGGAAACAGCTAATTTTAGACTTTGGTTAGAATATTTAATATATGAAAGGTAATGTCAAATGTAAAGTAGGTCTGAAGAGACAGGTTGGATTTAAATTGTGAAAAATCTTAAAAGCAAGGTTGAGAAGTTTGCATTTTAACCTAGCAGCAGTAGGGAACCACTGAAAGTTTTTTGAGTATGGACTGACATGTGCCTTAGGATGACTATTTTGACAGCTATGTCAAAAATGTTAAGGGGAGGGGAAAACTGGAGCAAGGACATCCATTGCAAGCTTCCTACAACTATCAAGCCAAAGTCCAACTCTGATTCTCACTGTGGTATGGAGGTAACCTTGGGTATTTATTCTAATAGGTCTTACCTGTGAAACATTCATGTGAAATTTTTTTTAATCCTAAGCTAATTTTGTCTAACAGAAATTATCAGAAACAGTTTTCATTTTGTACTTTTATGAACTCTTTTTCAAAGTATACTGACACAGCTGCTTGACTGACTGTCCTGGTGAATGAAGATCTGCAGTTGGTAAAATACTAAACTTTTGTGAAATATAAATTTTATATTAATTTACATGTATGTGAACATATGAGAAAAACATGAGAAAACAATAAAAACAAGCATGTAACACAAAACAAAAAATTTCTATGATTGTAAAACTAAGTGATGAGGTCAACCAATATAATGGGCTAAGGAGTGTTCCAGAGGCAGGTCCTTACGTTTACAAATATTTCACAAATTAATTTTCAGTTAACTACAAAATTTGGTTCAAAAACTCAAATGAGAGAATAAATTGTATATGGGAATTCTCACAAATGTAGTGGACATTGAGAAAGAGATTGGCAAGTTTGAAACTCAAAAATTATACCTCTTGACAAAGAAATTAATGTAGCTTTTTCCAAATGGGGATTCAGTGGATGTAAAGACACATGACATTAGAAATTTTGAAGGTGTGCAGGGGCTGGGGGTGGGAGAGAGGTAGGACTGCTTGGGAACTAAAACAAATCTACATTCGTGGTCAGATGGAATATATGAGAAGCACTAAGCTGTCCTCATCTTGCTTCAGGAATGATCAATGTCTATATTTTGCTGTTCTGTCTTTCTTACAATGCAACTCATTTGATTATTATTAATTAATTATTGCTAGCAGATAATTAATAAAAGGAGTCAGTGGCACTCTCGAATTCCAAAGACAGATCATGGTGGCTTCTTGACACTTATCTGCCCTCAGAAAAGTAGGTGTTCCAGATAGGTGGCAATCAACTCTGATTGGTTAACAATTAATGAGAAGAATGAATATTATAATGAGAAGTAGGTCTATTCTAATGAAGGGCTAGGGGAATATAACTTTATGTTACTTTTATTCCCATGCCATCCCCAGCCCCTGGGGATTCTAGAGAAAGGATCTACCCTCCCACCCAAGTCTGAGTAGAACACAATGGGCTTCCTCACTTGGGTGGGGTCTGAAAAAGATTGGAGAAAGTTAATCTAATCTCATTATCAGCGATGTCCTTCAGATGATGACTTGACCAGTAGAGAATGAGGAAATAGGAAGGGAAAAAACCTTGGATCTCCCCAATAAGTGGCTATCCAATAATCATTTCTCTCAGGGACTTGCTAAGGGTCACACAGCTAGTAAGTGTCTGAGGCCACATTTGAACTTAGGTCTTCCTGACTCCACACACATAATTATGATCCCCCTCACTTCTTATGCCTAATCTCCTTTTCTCCCTTTTGCTTTAAAATTTCCACAACCCTCATATAGTGGGTTCAATATCCGAAGGAGCTGCCCCACTCAAGACAGACTTGTTTTTCCTTAAAAAGTATTCAAACTGTCCTTGAGATGTAATCGAGAACTAAAGGCTCTGGCTAGTGATGGAGTTTTGTGAGCTTAGTATAGAAGCCAGAGCAATCATCACCTGGTCCTGCTTCAGACTTTTGGCTTGCACACCAGCAGCAATACCAACACCAACATGGACAAGTTGTACTCACCTGTATCAATGTTGTATCCTAACTAAACTTTCTTTGCTTTGAATATCTTTCCCCTGTTATGGCTAGGTAAATCTCTTTTGGTTAACCATCCTATGGATGATTAATTTCATTCTGGTCTGAGACCTAAGGTACAAGACTGGCCTGAGTCTCACAGGGTGAGTTGAAGATTAAGGGGTCATATCTGGAGAATAAAATTAAGGGATGAGAGAGGATTATACTCAGAGAAGAAGAAAGAGAGAGGTAGAATGGGGTAAACTATCTCACAAAAAGAAAAGAAAAGTCTCTTACAGTGGAGGGGAAACTGGGGAAGGTGAGAGAGAATGAGTGAATCTTATTTTCATAGGATTTGGCTTAAGGAGGGAATAACAAACACATTCAATTGGGTATGGAAATCTGTCTTACCCTACAGGAAAATAGGGGGAGAAGAGGACAAGAGAACAGGGGGATGATAGAGAGGAGGGCAGATTGGGAAAGGGAGTAATCAGAAGTAAATACTTCTGAGGAGGAACAGGGTCAAAAGAAAGAACAGAATAAAAGGGAGGGCAGGATAGGATTAAGGGAAATAGAGTTAGTTTTTCACAACATGTCTACTATGGAAGTGTTTTGCATAACTGCACATGTACAACCTATATTGAGTTGCTTGCCTTTTCAATGAGGGTGGGTGGGGACGGAGGAAGGGAAAAATTTGGGACCTAAAGTTTTAAAAACATATGTTTAAAAAAAATGTTTTCACATGCTACTGGGAAATAAGAAATACAGGAAATGGGGTACAGAAGTCTATCCTGCCCTACAGGAAAATAGAAGGGGAAGGGTATAAGAGAAGGGGAGAGAGATAGAAGAGAGGACAGACTAGGGGAAGGGATATTCAGAATGCATGCCATCTTGGGGTGGGAGGAGGAGGGAGATGGGGTATAAATTTGGAATTCAAAAACTTGTGGAAGTGAATGTTGAAAGCTAAAAATAAATAAATTTATATTAAAAAAAAAGACTGGCCTCAGTCTGGGCTGCTCTGTTATATACCATTTATTCTAGAACTATTAAAACTTTCTGGATTTCATCCTTCTACTTAGCATCTATGGGTTCCATCAATATAGTTCCAGTCCCAAACTGTTCCACAACCAAATTGGCTTGGCAAATTTTGACATAATATGTAAATTAAGAAAAATTAGAGGCACATGGAGTTGACAAATATCTTCCCTGTAGGTACATGTGGACTAGGGGACTACAGAGAGTTCTATAGCAAGATAGACTAATCCTCCCTTACCTATTTTGCCAATGTCTTTTCATTAATATGACACTGAGCACTGAATTTTAAGGACCATGAGCCAGAGAATAGCCATAAAATACATTCGCCTTAAATTACAAAAAAAACCCTTTATGTTTAGTGCCTTAACACCTTTATGACCTTTCCAAGATTTGAGAGAGAAAATCTAGACAAGAAGAAAACAAATCAGTTCTTAGTCCTAAGTCCTGATATTTAGGTGATGGAGTATCCAAATGAGCTTCCTCACAATTTCTCTGAAGTAAAACTATTAACAAAATACTTCAGCCTGGCATACTATTCAGAACAGCTCTGTAGGACCTTCCTCAGTGAAGGCAATAAAAACAAGGTTCTTAAAACACTATCAGGGATTTCCAGCAAGATGGCTGAACAAGAGGTTGTGGCAAAGCTTAGCTTACATATCAAGAAATGTACCAAATAAAGTAAAAGAAACAACAACAATAACAAAAAGAGAGAAATGGACACAATTTATCGCAAAGGAAACCAGAAAAATTAACAAAGAGACTAAAAAAAATGAGTCAACAACAAGGTTGCAATACAATGAATATGTCTTATG